ACCCCTAGCCCCCACTTGGGGGCTCTGTGTAGACTTTACCAGTCACGCGTCCTTCGGGGTCAACCAGAGTGCCACGGCCCTTAGTAACCCCATTCCCGTGCCGCACTCACACACCCTATCCTGTAGGGGTCGGCACTGCACGCAGAGCGTGGTGCCACTCAGCGCTGTCAGTCAGCGCTCACCGAGCCCCTCTAGGGCCGGAACTGCACTCACACCCTCGTGGTGCCCGCGATGTCGCTACATATGTATTCGAGAATATATCTTAGTAACATTTTTTGTTATCATTTAAAAAAAACGTGAGCAAATTGTTTCGTACTCTCTTTAGTTTGCGTAGGTCCTAGGGACAGTGCCTACTCTACCTCTTGGAAAATAGGGCCCTGGCTGCTGGTGTCTTATGTAAGCCAGCCCCGGCTTCGTCTGGATGTGGTTCTTTGCTTGATCAAAGAAACGATTCCATGTGATCGTCTTGACACGGCGTAGAGCGAAACGTCGGAGTTTTTTGTTATTTTTTGTTGTTATTTTCTTTGAACCTATCCACGTGACTTTACCGAAAGACCCAAGAATACAACATGTAGCAGCGCAACTGTAAAATCCTACGCAATAGAGTTCAAGGTCATGGTTGCATACTTGCTGGAACCTGTTCCTGGCATGCACCCGCGGGTGTGGTGAAGCCCAAACCATCAAACGCATCACTGACGAGCGCGCTCACCCTGCTGCGGTATCGCTGCGGTCCGTGCGGGGCCTACTCCCACCTTGGATTGGTTGAAGGACCTGAACTTCAACGATGACATTATCGATACAAACTGTTGCTTTCCCCCCACCCCCACCATGCCATACAAAAGAAGAAGACTGCCCTGGCCTAACCAAATAGCTCTTTGGTACCGGGACAGTTTGTATTTAACCACATCAAATATAGGAATCTCCGGTGCCTCAGCCCCGCATCATCGGTAGTGCAGTGATTAGCGCACTGCGCTACGAACCCAACGACTCGAGTTCGATTCCCTGGCGTGGCTAACGTCAGTGGCGTATATATCTGAACCGGTCCTGAGCCTCAACCAGGTCAACATCGGCCCCCGGGGAGACAAAGGCCGCCGGGCACAGTGCTGGCCACCAACCCCCTTGTGTGCTGCGCGGGCGTAAATAGGTGCTCGCTAATAGCACTTGCCCCAGCAGTCTGTTCGAGGCTACACAAGCGGGAATCTTCATCTCTGTGCGCCACTGGAGCTTTATTTCCTCAATCAAGTCAAACATCGTCGGGTTATTCCAACAGGGGATTAACAGAACGCTTGTAATTAAGACAATTAGGCTGAAGTGTCGGGGATGTGCAGTGGGGAGCAATGACCCAGAGGCTCATCCTCCAAGCCAATCCTTAAGAGTGGTTGAATTGAAAGAGGTTATTTATAGCTGGGAGAGGGGGACATCTCTTTAGCAAAGGGGGATCTGGATGATCCACGGGGGGGGGGGGGGGTGGGCATGATGCACTGTGACAAGGACATGAGAGAAGAAGAGAGAGGGGCTGAACAATGGCTGCAATGATACACTGGAAATAAGCAGGCCTCAAAAATTGATGTGCTCCACAATAAACCCACAAAATACACGGCTAAATTACAAAAGGCGTAAAAATCAGTGGGATTAGGTCTGAAGCGCAGAACCCTAGTACACAAAAGATTATTTTATGAATACTTTCGTTGATACGTTTAACCCTAACCCTAATTGCAACGTGCACATATAAGGCCGTGTATTCACTTCTGCCAAGAATCCACCACATTGTTATTATCTTTCAAAGAATATACACATTTAAAATTGTAGAAATTTTATGTATCCATAATGTGGGTTTTTTGGGTGAGATCGCGTAAATATAAATGTGTCGTTAAACCTGCCACCACCAATTAGTAAGGTTTGTCATGTAAACTGAATATGCCAATTCGTGACTAGTACAGCACACCGGTTTGTTGGAGAGCAAATCCATAACGAGGTGTAAATATTTATGCGATCTAACCCCAAAAAACTATATTATGGATGATATTGGTGGCGAAAGCCTACGTGTTCGTGTTAAATCTATTTTATGTAGTTTGTGATATACTTTTATACGTAAAAAAAATTGTAATTACATGCATAACTGACGTCCGTGTCGGATAAAAATACTCCCTGATTAAAAACTGTACATGGCTTCCAGTGTAAGTGCTTAAATATTTCTTTTTTTTGTGCCAGATAAAGATTTTTTGTGTCAAACAACACAGGACCTGTGCACGGCGTGCGTGCCTGTGGGGCGACGATAGCTCGAGACGGGCCATGTTTATTAATTCATTTACTTCCTGGTAAGTCTCCAAAAGCCGGTATTGTCAGGATAAATATTTGAACCGGGACAACTCCTTTCAAATGAAAGTCACATGTTTCCTAACATTCTGTCTGAGATCGTCAAAGAACATATCATCATCACCAACACCACCACCGAGATCATCAGCACAGTCATTGGCATTTTACTCACAGGGCAATCTGACTCAAAATTCAATTATGAATTCGTGAAGCAATGTGGCGCACTTTTCTTAAATAACCCCCACCCCCGTCCACCGAGCAGCATAAAAGGGGACACAACGCAGTTAGTGCATTGTCAGGTCACGTGTGTTGTGGTAAACAGTGGGTACTCTCTTCCGACATGTTTGGTCAGCATGGAAGAGTAGGCCAAATACCCTCGAGAGCTCCCTCTAATGGGGAGGCCTTTCCGCCAATCGCGGTGTGAGCAACAATTGCAGGGCTGCACCTTTACCTTTCCTACCTTTACCCTGCGTGGCAGCAAACGTTGATTTCCCCACGATACATTAACCCAGAGCTTCGTCATCGTGTCCGCATTAAAGACCCGGGTCTTACTCCTTGAAAATAAGCAGAGGGAGCAATAACCCCAGGGTCCTGGCTGAAGTCCCACTACAGATCAATGACATATCGCTGCCCTTGCCAAAGGTCCCCCCAACCCCTGACTCGGCCACACCCCCCATCCAACCCCGAGTGATTAATTAGGAGACAAAAAATAAATCCCTTGTTGCTCAGCCTCTTTTGTACCTTGCCACCTCGGGCTGCACACGAATCATGAATCAGCCGCTGGGCACGGGGAACACTGCGCGCGTTTGAAAGGTGCGATAGAAATGTGTGACACGGTGATGATGTTGGCGATGATGATGATGGTGGCGGCGATGGTGATGGTGGAGGTTTGCCAGAGACGGTGAGTCATTGCAAAGGCTCACATCGGTGCGCCGCCGGTGTATCCCGGCACATGAGCGTCATCCAAATGCAAAAAATTGTGAAATAAACGGCGATTAAAAAAAAAATATCGCCAGACCGCACTTACTCGGGTAGAGTGAACAGGGCGTTCCTTATCCTCGAGAGGAACTCAGCCACTGGGCGAGTCGTCTGATTGGGACAAAAAATACCGCATGGCTCGAGCGTTAATAAACCTTCGGAAGAAGAAAAAAATCGTTTGAAATATTAGCGGAATATTTTCTACCGAATTTTTTTTTATTTACTTAAAAAAAACGTGCATTTCCACCGGCACTACTGAGTGACGTTCTTATTGCGTTAATAGAATAATGGAAGCTACCATGGGTACCCAGAATGCTCTGGTCTGGCAGGAAACAACCCTGGAATGAGAAAACTGTGGGTATTCTCGCAGAGTTTGGTTCTACGAGACTGCCCCAAGGGCTCAAGCACGTCACTCGTGTACCGTGAATGAAATAAAAACACCGTCTTGGAAACTGTGAGTTCCTCTCCTCCAGTTCGCACGGTTGGTTACTTGCGGTGTGAAAGAGGTTCAATATTCATACATACACAATCCAATCTGGATAAATCCAGGATAAAAAGGTAGGCAGAGCATACTGTGTGTTTCAAGCCAGCGTAGGTGTTCCTGTAAAGCGTTCGTGCTTTGCAAGAGTAGAGAGGCAAAGGCAGCTTCCACACGGCGTTACGCAGTTGATGAAAAGATAATGCCACTCGACTCATTCAGTGAGACCTCCACTACCACACAGGAGCTAATCATCAGCACGCTACCCAGGTACGAGAGATCCTCAAACCTCTGCACAAGCACGGCATTACACTCATGGAGAGCCGAGGGAGTGGTGTGTTCGATGACACACAGTACCCAGGCAGGTGTTTGTTTCGCTGGGACTGATAAGGGGAGGGGACCACCAGGGAGGGCATCCTTCAATTCTCTGTGGGACCCATTCTGTAGACAGTTGCAACAATGTCCTGCGAACAGTCTGCAGTGTGCCACCCTCCCCTCCTGTTGAAATCCCCTACGTGTGTGTGCAGGACTGCTGACGCTAACCCGACTTGAAAGCATATTGGGGCTCCCCTCAACGCTTCTTTCTAGTCGATAATCCTTTCCAGGACTTTTCCCGGCACACTGAGGAAGACAATGTTCCGGTAGTTGTACCAATCAGTGCGGTCACACACATGCACACAAAGACAAAGAACCCCCATAGAGCCTGAACACACTGTTGGGGCAAGTCCTGTTAGTGATCACCTATGAAGGACGGCACAGTACACGAGGAGTTGGGTGGCCAACACAACGCCCGGCCACCTTTGTCTCCACAATGGTGATGTTTACACACCACACCAGATAATCATTCGAGGATGAGTCGACCTAGGGGAGGCCCAGGATCGGTTAAGATAATCATCACTGGTGTTGGCCGTGAGCGGGAATCGAACTCGGGTCGTCGGGTTCGAAGCACAGCGCGCTAATCGCACATGCACACACACAACGACAACAGCAACCAATCGCCACTAAGTGTAGGTGATTTCACCACGGCACTTGTGCCAGGCTATGTGCACTTTAAGGGCACATAAAGTGTTGACCGCCCGCTGGTAGGTCACCGGACAGACCCAGGTGCCATGGGTTCACTGACTGAGATGACCAGCTGATGCACCACCTGTGCCCCCTACCGTGTATACACATGCGCGCGCGTGCGGATTGAAATTGAACACTGCAGCGTGCATCGCGAGTTCCCTACCAGGATCTTGTTCTCGTCCTCGTCCTTGTAGTAGCACAGCTGCTCCCCGCGCAGCACGAACCAGCGCGCGTGCCACGAGCGCACGAAGCCGCCCTGCTTCTTGAGCCAGCCACTCTTGAGGACCCCGCGGCGCGACGACCCCGACGCCGACCCCGGATGCCCGCCGGCCTCTCCCCTGCGACCGCCGGCATGGGCCTGCGACGCGGCCGCGGCCGAGAGAGCGGCGCCCACCCCGGCGGCGTCGGCGAAGCCCGGCAGGGAGGCGGCGGCGGCCGACGCGGCTCGAGATGCCATGGCATGGCCCGAAGCGCCACGGCTCGCCAGGGCAGCGCCGTCTGCCATCACGAGACTGAAGGAACGGCCTGGGGTTGGTGGCGTGGTGGGCGCGGGAGGGTGACGGGACGGGGGAGAGATCACCGGCAAGATGAGCTGGAGGCAGAGGTGACTGGCGCAGGCTCTGCCGAGCGAAAAGAACAATCATTTTGCGAAAATCCTGAGGTCGCTCCACAGCTTCCTATGGGAAAAAGTGGAACATTTTCAGAACCAGGCCAATGGCACAAGGCCCACACTCAACAGTACGCTGCACAGCACATATGAGTACAAAGTAATAAAAGGTGGTAAAGTGCAGCCCTGCAATGGCTTGCTCGCGCCACTGCTGGCAGAAGGGGCTTCCACTTGAGGGAGCTCTAGAGAGCCCCTCTGGAGGGCATTTGACTCTTCCACGCTGCCCAGCCGTCTTGGCAGAGGTGGAATTTCCCAGCCTCTACCTCACCGTGCACGATCTGCCAACTGACGTTGCTGTGGTGCGCACATTCATCTTTGCTGCTGAGTGGTGGAGAGAGGCGGGGAGGATTTAAGGAGCTCGCACTGTCGCTTCAACTGACGTGCCAGGATGTCGAATGGAACAGGCGACCTGCGTTGCAAGTCCGGAGTGCCAACCGTTACACCGCCGTGGCAACTCCAGGAGGGAGGATCAGTGGCGACATTCAGTCGGGGGGGGGGGGGGGGCTGTCCGGGTTGGCGACCCAGAAAATATTTGTGCTCCCTGAACACCACATCAGGATACCTATCGCTATGGCTCTGGCTATATAGGAAATTATTACGTGAGAATTGAAGCCCTGGGGAGGAAATAAACAGACAAGGCGGTGATGTGAGCATCCCGATAGCTTTCAACAGAATGCCATTAATCATTCCAGATTGTCCAACATATATATATATGAATTTATAATGATTCACACTCCTCTGTCAGTCCATTGGTGGATGATGGACTCTGCATTCCGTCTAAGTCATGGGGTGTTTCTGTTTGATCGTATTTTGCCGTGCTGGTAACTGTGGTCAGTTCCATATCTGCCCACGGCTAACATCAATTGGCGATTGATATACCTCAGCAGATTGTCACCCCCTTCTTTGTAACCCCCGGATTTCGACCAGCGTGGTGAAGTAAGGTCAAACAAGAACCCTCATGACCGACACAGCGTGGGGAGAGGGCCTTATTCCAGCAGTGCAATGATAATGGGATGAAATGTACGATTGAATATTCGTTTTACCAAAAACAAATAAACAACAGGTCGTAAAGTATATGCCATTTGTTCTGCATACGTTGCACATATGTACGGTGATTTCAAAGTCATGCCGAAAGCAAAATTACTCAAAGTGTTGCTTTAAAGGTAATTTGTGAAAAGTGTCAGTTAACCAAACATTTAGTTTAAAAATAGACCACACGGTGCCCCAGCCTCCGAGCTTGAGTCAGAACCTGCTTTGTAAGTCACAGACGTCATTACTGTACTTTCATTAAATGGAATGACGTTGTAACTTTGGTAATATTTACACCTGTGCCCTGGGTAATTATGAACCCTTAAAGCGCCTCCTCGTCTTCGTGGGTGGCGGTGAGAAAGCGCCATGTCCTGTGGCTTCCAACTTGGCCACGTCCCAGCTTGACAGGTCTTCTACCGCCACGTGCCTGTCTGGGGATTTGATCATTTTCTCAATCGCTGAATTGTGATTGGATGTTGAATTGTTGCACCTCGTGGGTTGCAATCGAATGCAAAATTCATATTTGTGTTTTATAACATTGTAGCTAGCGATTTGTTGTACCCGTGGCCAAACCACGGGAATGAAGGAGAGAGTGAAGGAGAGAAAGAATGGGGAAACAAGGAGAGAAAGAATGGGGAAACAGGAGGGAAAAGGAACGGAAACTCGAGCAAAGAGGAAGAGGCTACGTGAAGGGCCTCGACGCTTCGGCACAGAGGAGGAGCGGCGGTTCTTCTCGCAGGGGGCGACGGGGAGGGCTCAGCGACTCGGGGGGGGGGGGGCTGCACAGAAGGCACGTGATACACGGGAGGCTTTAACTCATTGAGATATCGAGATATATCGATACGAGTGGGGGGGGGGATTTAGAGTCGGGGTGGCCACACAGTCGTCACGTTTACAGTATTTACGGGAGGCTTTAGCTGATTTCGATATCGAGATGGTAGCACCGTTAGTGGCTGCACGGTTTACATTCACCCATTACATACAACACATACACACCAAAAAACGTTGAATTCTTACACGTGCGTAACTCGATGTGTGTATTTTGAGCTTAAGAATATATTTATCAATACGATGCTGAATATATATTTGGTCCTTAAGGTCTCCATGATCTGGCTTTTCCCATCTGCCAATGAGGGTGAGTGGTGGCGCAGTGGTCACGCGCATTGCATTTTGATTCGAGCCACTTGGGTTTTTTGGCGAGTAATACCTGAACCTGCCCTACAGGCTGCAGGATAGGTCTTTGCACCAACTTGCACGGACCGGCGTGGTGAAGTATGGCCAACAACACCCGTTACCAACATGGCACACCTTCGTCCGCCAGTGAATTGGCAAAGGGCCGTAAATAATATAGCGACCTTAAAAATAGACCGGTAATCTATTAATAACGTGAGCAAAGCAAAAGCCATGTACACCAAGTTTGTTGAACAACACTGAAACAATTTGCTGGAGGCACACAAACGAGAGCACGGAACAACGATTGAAGGTGGATGGCATTCAAAATGATCCAAGAGCAGAACGAGAGCGAGGACGGAGCGCCTTTTGAAAACCTCCGAGTCGACCATGAAGCGCAGCGGGCCCACGTGACTGCAGAGGAGCGACTCCACGTGCGCAGCCGCGACGTGGCTCAGAGGAACGCGCCGGAGACGGCAACGACGCCCCCGCCGCGGGGACAAGGGATGGAAGCGAGCAAGGCCGAGAGCACGTGCTTGAAATTCCACCGACTCTGCTACCGCCTGACGCCATTGTCTGCCTCGAACCACCTCGGTGTAAATCATAGTCGTCGCTCTCACGTCAACATTAGCCACACGGAGAAGACGACGGAACCACGACGTCTGACGAAGAAAACGAATGCAAAACAGAGGCGTCATCTTAACGGCTTTAGTAAAGTCGGTCTGAGCAGGACAGAATCAAAATCTGTATTTATACTGGAGGAATCCGATGAGCTATTAAGCTCTTTTTTACATCGCTAACATGGGATGACGGCCATTGGTTGAGGCTGGTGATGGAATGGTGGATAATTGCTCTTGAGAGAATGATCATCGTGGGCATGGCGCAATGAGGTCAGTTCCTGTGCAGGAGTGAGATGAATTGTGGGGGAATGGCGTGGAGCGGAATTAATCAAGCGGTAGAGAGATCATTGCTGATGAAATGTTTCAATACAACTTTTTGTGTGACGATACATGCATTGTACTTCAATGCTTTATAAATACAGGTGCTATGCATTTGTACTCGCAACCACGTTATTACTAAGAAACAACTAAATCATTCATTTAATGCCAGACACAACGTTGTCTCTGGGATCACCAACTCCCAATGTCTACTGCCCTTGTATTCACATTTAGGAGATCTGGTATCAGCATAGCCAGGCCTTCATCCAGCAGTGGATAGAGATTGAACACTGTAATTGACGGTGCTGATGGTCAAGCGATGTTTTTGTACTTTCTCAGACAGTGTGAGGAAATATATATAACTTCCATTTTAAAGGAGTTGTCCCAGATCAAATATTAATTCAACTTTAAAATACTTTACAAGGAAGCAGATGAAGAATGAATAAACACGGCCCGTCTCATGCCATCTCCGCTCCACAGGCATGCACTCTGTGCACAGTTCCTATGTTGTTTTAAAAGCATCCCGCCCATACTTCACCACGCTGGTCAGTGTGGGCTGATAAACACGAGTAGTACAACATAGAAGTACGGTATAGCAATGTTGCTACATCACCCCTCTGCTGCCTACAGCGTAGCTCCACAGCCTATAACACCTGTTTAACGCACGCCCATCGCTCATCCAAGGATCAACCAGGCAATATCCAGGCTCAAATTCCTGCAAAACGTCCACCTGGTGTGAACGGGCGCATCCCGGGTGAATTAGTCAATGATTTACTGACCGTAAATGTTTGTATAATTGTCCAACTAGATGATTAAGGCTCGTGACTCCATTCCAGTGGATGACGGAACTCCGTGCCACTCTTTGTGGCGCACTGCCACTAAATTGGAGACGGGGCGCAGCTGCAGGTGTAATTATCGTCGCTTCTCACCCCGGGGGGTGGGGGGTGGGGGGGGAGGTTGATAATCGTGAGGCGGTCGACAGCACCAGAAACGAAGTCTACAGCCGAGCCAACCCTGGTTTTGGCTTGAGAATCGGTAGCCCACAAAACGCGAGATGGAGCCACAACTTAACGCTGGAATGGCGCCAGGACGATAAGAACACTTTGTACGGTCAAGGGGTTCATTGTTAAACACACACAAAAACCCCTAAGACATGCGTGACAAATGATGAAATCGTCTGATCCTCACGTTTCCATCTACAACTCGTAATGGCAGCGTGCAGATCATCGCGAGCGGACAATTACCAAGAGGGAATTGTATTTCGTGGTGACGAAGCACTTACCAAAGACACTTCATTTAGGAAAGTCTCGTTTGTTTTTAAGTTACTAAACTGATTACTTTCCAACAGCATTTTTAGAACGCGGGGGGGAGTTGTTACTCAAAACACAACCACAAGATAAAAAAAAACACCACGACGGATTCGTTGGATCGACGTCTAAGAGGCTTTACATCCACGCCGTATATACACAGTAGTCGCCTTGCTGGCGTTTTAGAAAGTTATGACGGTGCAAGGTGAATTTTAATTGTATGCAAATGAGCATAAAAACATAAAGCACGATAGATCGTGCTTATTTTAGGATGTTATTAGGGGGCGTCTCGGTGGCGAAATGTTACCTACCTCGCCTGGTATACAGGAGGTCGTAGGTTCGTAATCCTGACCCTGACGCCTGCTACTGTATATTTGGAGTTTGCTTGTCTCTCTCCCCGTGGCCACGTTTCAG